TCAAGGTATTATTGTGGTAAATGCATGTATTTACATGTACAAGGATAACATGATAATATGTGAGATGTAACATTATACTCTTGCATTTTCTATTAATTTTTGTCTCTCTTTGTTGTTATACTAGGAATTCACCTATAGATAATGGTGCTAACTCTATCTTAATGGATTCTTATCCTACACATGCAAGGAGTCATTCAAATTTATTCACAGCTAGAGACTCACCAATGGATAATTTAGGAATTCTATTAACAGCATTCAAAAAAAAAGTTACCAGAGAGCAAGCTGCTGCAATTTATAAATCTTCTGGGTTTAGCCTCAGTGTTTCAATGGCATGTATAAATGAGGGTCCAACATTGGAATCAATTTTATTAGTGTTGAATCAGAAGATGGAGCATGCAGAATCGGTCATTGTTACAGTGCACACAAATGACATGTGGCATGATATTCTGCGCCATTATAAGGCTGGTACTGTTGATTTTGGAAAGCAATTGTTCATTAAGTTAAGTAATACACTTGCTATTGATGCAGGAGGTGTACGTCGTCAAGTATATTCAACAGTATACAGTGAATTCCAGTGTAATAAGCATATAGAATTATTCACTGGACCTTTACACAGTCTTAGCCCTGCTTGTACTGCAGAAGCAAGGTCAAGTGGATTATTCAAAATTTTAGGTAGTATGGTTGGGCATAGTATATGGCAGGATGGCATTGGGTTCCCATTTTTTTCATTGACAAATTACACTTATATGATGGAAGGTGAGGAGAAAGCACTTCAAGTATGTTCAGATAATGATATTGGTGCTGGTGTTGCTGCAGTTATTTCAAAGGTAATGACTATAGCATCAAATTTTTATTCTAATTAATTATTATATGTAATTTTTACTATTAAAAAGCCTTTACAGCTATAAACTAAGGCCTCAGAAAGTTCTCACTGCTATGTGCATGTGCAGCATTTTAACTGACACTTTCTTTTGGTATTGTTATGCAATTACTACCCACAAATGGCATTATATTGTTCTATACCTAGATAGGATTTGTGTGATATTGTAATGATAACATTATGTACTATTAGTTGCGAGATATTAAGACTGAAGATGATGGAAAAGAGGTTATGAAAGATGAACTAATCCTTGATATTATTAGTCGTTGCAGAGTTACAATGATTCCCAATGTAAGTCACCATTAATGTTTAAAGAATTATTCATTAATTTGTTTTTTAGCCTTCTACAAAAAATATAATAGTTCAGAATATCATCACATATGAAGCATTGTTCAAGCATTCAAACTTACTTGATCAATTTGTTGAAGGATTGAAGGCCACTTCTCTCTATCCACTACTGAGAGCTTTTCCTGCCCTATTTCAACCTCTGTTTACTTTTACAGAGCTTACTTCTGAGGAAGTTCAAAAATCCCTCATTTTTCCGAACGAGGAGTCATTCATTGCACAAGAAAGTATTATTTTACGTTATCTAAAGAAATACATTGATGAATGTGATTCAGAAGGTATAATATGCATAGAATGTAGCATTAAATACAAGTTTTGCACAACTGCCACAGGTGTTTCACCAATTTTTATTCTCTCTATTGTATTGTAGGTTTGAAGGAATTTGCACTCAGTATTACAGGTAGGATTTCAGTCCTGCCAAAGTCAATTGAAATAAAATTTGAAGCAGATCGCATGGGGACAATAGCTACTCATAGCTGTTCAGGAGAAATAATTTTTCCACGCCAATTTGAAGGAGACTATGAAATGTTTTGTTTGGCTTTGAAATCAGTTTTAAGTCATGACTTTAACACGTATTAATTTGTTTACATTGTAACATGGTTTTTTCTGACTTAATAATTAATATTGTGGTGTGTTTGCTAGTTATTAGATTTGCTTACATAGTTAGATCAAGAGTATATAGATATTATAACTAATTTTTTGTGTGAATTAGACATATTTTTTATTATTGTCATATTAAATATCAAAATTAATTATGAGTAGCTAACGTGAGCCTGAGTGAGCTCAAATTGAGATAAAGAGGAATACATGTGGGTAGCCTAGCTATTTCTATGACCTGCATAGGGGCGAAGCTCCCAGTTTGTTCCAATAAATATTATACCCCCCAAACCACTTTTATAACTTTTCTGATGCACATACATGTACTTTATGTTGAACCAATTCCAATAAAAATTGGATTTTTTATAAATTTTGCTCATAAAATTAAGCAAAATGACTCTGTAACAATAGTACTGCATGGGTCACAGACCAAATTTGAAAAGGAGAGAATTTGGCATTTTTATAATTTATTGTGATACATTAAACATGCATGTACTTTCGTTGTGTAGAAAATTTGAACTGATTCCAATTAAAATTGGATTTTTACACAATGCTGCTAAATATCTGGTCAAAGACCATGTACTATTACATGTATACAATGTCAGGGTAAGTGAGTGCATTATATTTCATCAACAAGGAAATTCCTCCATTTTTTGATACATTCTCAATAATAGAAAATTAATACCTTGTAAACCCTACAAAGAAATACACAATCAAAAATTAATAATCCAATTGGGTTTTTGTCTCTTCCTTATAACCTATGTCCTCCCCATCTCTCCTAATCTCTTTATGTCATTTAGTAATATTCAACTGAACTATTTCTTATTAATTATATTATCTCCTTGTTCCATTGCATCAGGCAGTGGTAATAATTGTATATCAATATTAAGGACATCCAGTCATTAATATCTCTCTAGAGGAGAAAAAAAACAGAGAAAGTAGAAATCAAAAGATGAGGAGTACAGAGGGTGAAAATTTACAGTGAGCAAAAATTTTGCAAACTAGTTTAAAAATAAGGTTGAGCTATACAATTAAAAAAATTTTAATCCATTGTATACATGTATTCATGTGTGTAATGTGCATCACCTTAGACGTGGCATTCCTAGTGTGATGTTCATTTCTCCTCTACCGGCAAAATGAAATGTATTCAATATCATCTGAGTGGAAGGTTCACCAATAGACTATAAAAGAAAACATAATTATTATCTTATTGCGTATATTCCATTTTTTACTTGTGCTGCTAGTAGTCCAACAGGTTCTCCTGGTTCAGCTACTTCTCCTAAACACTTGAACTGTGACAAAGTCCTGAACTTTCAGGAGTCAATAAAGTCTACCTACAAGAAAACGGGACACAAATGTAAGCATGTACATGTACATGTATATGCATAACAAGTTTGATACATTAACAATCATAAAATTGTTATAATTGTCTTTAAAATGTTGGGCTGGTATTAATGTATTGCAAAAAAAGAGCTGAACCAAAATACCTGTCAGGTCTGAGGACTGATGTAGGACAGCATCATGCTTGTCATTTAACCTGTAAAATAATAATATTCTTATAATTAATGCTTAGTTTGCCACTCATTAATCTTTGAATGAGCATTGCTAAATTACATGTACTCATTTCACAATTACATTTACAGCATTTTAATTTCTTGATATTAAAAGAGAAAATTAAAATGATAAAAATCTGAAATATTGTGATAAATAAACATTTTACATGTACATGTACGTGTACTTGCTAGGGTTTATTTTACAATTAATTTCCATCCACAAATCACATTGAAAAATCTCAGTTTTTATTCATAATTTCTAATATACAAAAATCTTTTTAACAGGACAAAGAAAAATACTGTACAAGTGGTTTTTTGGAGGATTGCAAAATTTATGAATCCCTTTCAAATTCAGGAAAATAAAATCCGCAAAAATCAATTTAATATGGTATCCACATGGTACGGGGTAGAATTCGCGAAATTAAAATCTTTGAATTGGAATTTTAGTAGATTTCGTGAAATATAATTTCCTTGAAAAAAAACTTATATGGTACAGCAGAGCTCAAGGCCAAGTTAATACACTTACGTTATTTAAACGCTTACAAAACGGTAGTGTTACTAGTATGGTTTGCAGTTCAGATTGTTGTGTATACTTAAAGGGACACATTCACGGAAATAGAATGCACACGTTACTGTAGAGGAAGTAAACATTAAATTGGGCGTGCAACAGATCATTAATTAATAGTTATGACACGTGTTTAGACACGCATAGAGAGTAGAGACAGCAATCAGTCGCAGAACCAGGAGTAGGCATCTGTAGAACACTTCTCTCGAACAGAATTAGCTCTTTTGCCACCCCAAGATACTCTTTTTAGTGAAGAAACACCAGGAATATTTACAAGTAGCCACTCGAGTAGCCATTTTGCCCTAATTATTAGGGGCGCGGCCGCACGTTATGAATAGTTATCAACACTAAACATCATCATTAATGATGTCATCTTGAAAAACGGGCCAGTTTTTCAAGATGACGTGCTTCCGTGCATGTGTCCCTTTAATATGAGATGTTTAGACAGTAACATTATAACATGATACGCTACATGAGCATAGCATTATACAGTACAAACGGTAAACTAAGGTTAAACTAACGCTAAATGTTCAAGTATTACGTATACAGCAAGTGCTATGGTACGTACATACTTAATACGTACGGGTAAGTTACGGTATGTAATTGCGTATTAAAGTTAACTTGGCCCTGATCTCTGCTGTACATGTACATGTACACGGCAGACATACATGTACGTGTACATTAACATGTATGTGTACATTAACATGTACGTGTACATTAACATGTACATGTAACTCAATGTGAGACTTATCAGACTACATTGTAAGTACAGAACTGAAATAACACTCAGTTAAAAAAATTAATTTGGTTGAGACGGTTCTAAATAAGCCAGGCTATATAATGTCGTACATGTATCATATGGAATTGATAGTTGAAAGCCACTGACTAACAAACAATATCTTTGAAGAGATGAATGTATGGACATACCAGATTAAAACATCCACAGAGATAAATTAATTATGGAGTCATTGTGAGGCTTATAATGCAATTTTAAGACATGTTTGTCTGTTATGGAGGGCAGAGACCAAAGGACTGAAATACAATGACGTGTAGAAACAAAAATAAACATATCACCTTTATTCAGTAATGTACTGTACTTACATGTACCGGTACATTGTACATGTAGCCTAATAAAAATAATATTTTTTAACTACATGCACATGTACATGTATATATACATAATATGCCTATAATAATTATTCTGGTAAATCTGCCCCATTGTTCTTGAAAACTACAGGCACAATTATAAAGCTCATGTCATTCGACAAACCACAAAATAATATGACAATTTTAATATCTCTAGCACAGATATGTACATGTACATAAAACTATAATGGGCATTAGAATGTATACTAGAAGCCAAGTGTGTAGTATGTGTAATCTACAATAAATACTTAATATTAAATAGTTTTCTATTACTTTTAAAAAAATCTTATTATACCGACCTCTTCCTTCTCCTCCTCCTCCCTTTCTGAGACCACCACCTGTAAAATAATAACATAATTAAATATTATGATACCGTATAGCAGAAAATTTTCGTGGCCCAAAAAAATCCGCAGATCTGTTCAAAAATCAATTTCGTGGCTTTAATATTCGTGGTTTTCTACTTTTTGGCCATCTTTAACCGTATTGAATCAATTTTCACAGATTATATTTTTGTGGAATTTTTAAAAACCACAAAATCCACAAAAATTTTGGGCCACAAAAATTTTCTACTATATGGTAACATACATGTATTAAATATTACATTTACTAATTAATGGATGAACTTATAATCTACTAAAACATGTAATTAATCAAAGGAATCAATTAGAGTAGGAAATGAAGACAAATTGAGAACATTCCACTACTAGAGTCTCTCTCCCTCTATCTCACCTGGTCTTGGTCCACGTGGTTTAAAAGCTTCCTCCTTTACCTTGTCAATCACCTAAAGAATAATAACGGAATTTCAGGCTAAAGACCATAGGCTAAAGATTTGTCAAACTCCAAAAATTACAAGACTACAAAATATCACATTATAAATATACATATATGGACGTCCTTATGTGGAAATTAACTTTGAGGTGACGCTAACAATTAATTTTTGAGTCAAGAGTATTTTCTAATTTTTTGAAAAAGAAAAACATGTTTTTTTCCAAAAATTGGCTCCAAATAAGGTTGAGCTGATTCCGACATATATTTTTTGAATTATAGCTGTTTAAAAAAGTAGCCAGTTTTCAAAAGAGCCAAGGCTATTAGTAACGTGGTAGGGTTACTAAGTAGGATACACCTCCCTTCAAAATGGCTGCCACGACTTTTGCAGCCTTGCTATTATTATTATTATTATTATTAATAAACTTTACAATACATACTATAAAATGTGACA